CAGAACTGATAGAATCCTGCTGCTGTGGGGTGTGAATGCACTATAGAGATGTAATACAGCTGGGAAAATGGTATTAAGGGAAGGGATGTTGTCTTGAGTCTGCACAGACTATCTCAGGCTGGCTCTGGGAGCAGCAAAATCCCACTGCTACCAGAGAGGACTTTGTTTTCTGGCTCTGACGTACTGTGCAATTAGCAACTTGCTGCCAAGCTGAGCTTTGGAGTGAGCAGCTCTCAGCCTGGGTGGTCTCAGAGTCTGACTCCTCTTCCTCCTATCCTTGCATCCATCCTTGTCTCCTCCCCTGTGTGGAGCCAGCAGAAGTGGATGTTTGGAGATGCAGGACACTTGCAGTGATGAAGGATTGATGCCCAGGGATGCAGGATGTTCACAACACTTGATTATGGGAGTGGATGGCTCATGCTCAAGGATGCAGGATGCTCTCGGTGCCGGCTTCCCTCCGGAAGGAGCATCTTGCCTGCTCTTGGAGAGAGGCGGCCCTGGGATGCAGCGGTGCCTCATTGGTCAGCGGGACCTGTGGAGTCTGCGGGTTGCCATACCAACCTGCCTCTGGTTCCCGGCCAGCCGGGGCGTGAAGTGCCGGGTCGAGCTGGTGCCAAGGGGCGGATCAGGAGCCAGGGGCAACCCGAGGCTGTGCCAGCCAGGGAGGCGTCCCTCCGCTTCTGCCGGAGGGTTGGCTGGCACCGCTGGGCTCCCCGGCACCCCGCATCGCCCTGACGCTACTCCCCGCCGCTCCCCGCAACTTTGCGGCACGGAGGGGGACGGCGGGAGGGCACGGCCCGGGGGGGCGAGCCCGGACATCCCTCTCCCTCTCAGCGGCCGGCTTTCGTGAGCTCGAGTCCCGGGAGGGGCACCGCCGCCGAGCTCTTGTGTCCCGCTGCCCACCTGCACCGGAGCATCCCCGCGCAAAACTTCCCGCTGCCCGCCGCCGGGGAGCGGGGCCGGCGGCTGCCGCGCTGCCGGGCGCTGCCGCTGCCCGCTCCGCCGGCCTGCAGCGGACGCCGATGCCCGCAGGCTCGCTCCGGGCACAAAGGCTCAGTCCTCCCCCGGGCATCGCCCGCTGCTCCGAGGAGCTGGGGGCTGTTTGGCGGCCGGGAGGGGGTGCGGCTGGCTCCGTCCCCAGCGCTGGGAGCTGGAGCCATGAGCCACTGCCAGCAGCGCTGCAAGAGGCAGCTGGGCCGGGTGATCCGCTTCTTCTACCAGTTTGTCACCGGGACTCTCTCCCAAGGTAAGTAGCGTCATGGGGGACACGGGGGCTCTGTTCTGTGCCAGGGGATGTCTGTCTGGTGAGCTCTGTGGGATTATTTGGGGAGGGGAGAAATGCTGTTTAGAAATGCTGGTGGAGAGGTTGCACTGAGCTCTGTGTGGAGCAAAGCTGAAGATGCTTCCAGGAGGCAACAAAAGCTCCTGAAGGCCCCTTGTGGACCTGGCATGAAGGGAATGTTTTATTTGGGGAGGGGACTGATGCAAAGTTGAGCACGAAAGAACTGCTGTACAGATAAATTGCAGCTGGTCTGATGGTTCCTGACATGTCAAGGAATTTGGCTTCTCTGGGGCTGGAGCCATGCCCTCCATCTAGCTGGACAAAGAAGCCCTGGATGTGCCCTATGAGCCAGGGCAGGGACACACCCTGGTGCCTGCATCTACTGGTGCTTTTGTCCTGGGATGCTTGGTCCTGGGACAGAACTTCCTACTCTGTGCTCCTGGTTTGCAGTCACTGCCATGGCAGGACCCTCACGCCTGTGCCAGCCCCTGCACTACCCTGCCAGCTCCCCAGAACCCCTGAATATGAAGCCAGAATTTCCTAAACCGAGTGGGCATATCTTAGGGAGGTTATCGTGGGCCTGTGTGTGCTGGGAATCTGGGTGCCCTACTCCTACCCCTGTCCCTGCATCCCTGTGCAGGGATAAATTTGGCATCCCCATGGCCTTGCCCTGCTGGGAACCACTGGGCCGCCCCTCTGGGCCCCAGCAGTGCTGGGAAGGGATGTGCTGTACCGTGAGAGCAGGGAAAGCCTTGTTGGGCCAATGTGGCAGCACCACGCCTCAGAGCAGGGCTGGGACTTGCACTGCTTTTGCCAGGACTGCCTGGAAAACCCCTCCCAGGTTTTGTCCCCTCCTTGCTTGGGGAAACCCCTGGGTCTCCACAGCCTGTGCCTGTCCTTGGGGCCAGAGAACTGCAGGAATAGGCATGGAGCACTTGGCACAGCCCGGGAGGCTGGGATGTGGGAGCAATATTTGACCTGTGAGCCATGCCTGGCCGGCATGCTACCTTCCTGCCCACAGGGACCCAAGCCCTGGGGTGGAGGCTCGCGGTCAAAGCAGGGGACAGTCCCCCAAGCCCGGCAGCGTGCCAGTCTGGAGGCTGGGTGTGCCGCAGGCCCATCCCCGCTAGTTGGCTCCATTGGGCACCAGCCAGCTTGCCTGGAGCAGAGGGGGCAGAGGATGAGTCAGCTGAGTCCAGCCCAGGGCATGAGGGGCAGAGCTGCAGGTGATGGAGCAAAGAGGGAATGGGACCTCGGGATGCTCCCAAACCCCATCACCTGCAAAGATATCCTGAGATCCTTCTCCCAGTGTCCTGGGCTTTACAGCTGGGTACTGTGGCATCGGGACGGTCGCAGATGTCCCATGGGACTGGGTTTCTGGAGTGACCATGTGTGGTGCTGAGCAGGACCAAGGGCTTTCCCTACAGCCCTGCTGGGTGTGCATGGGATTGGGATGGGCACAGAGGGCATGGCTGGCTGTGGGGCACTGACTACCCTCACTGTCTTATTGGTGTCCTCCCAAGCTCTGAGACAAGCCAAAGTGGGGTGAAACCCAAAGCCGAGCAGGTCTGAGTTGGGTGTGGGATGTGGGGCTTGCACAGCCTTCTCTCTCTGCAGTTCTCCTCCTGCCCAGCTGCTTCTCTGATCCTTGGGTCACCAAGATGCTGACCCTCTCTGGCTGTTACCCTACCACATCATTCCCTTTTGAGGGGCAGTGACCAGGGACCCCCTGTCCTTCCTGCATAGGTGAAGGAGGTCTCCTGGAGCTCACTGCAGAAGGCACTGGGTGCTTGACCAGGTGGCCTGGGACAAGAGGCCCCCTGGCTGGGTGCCCTGAGGAGCTGGTCAAGGACGGGATGCCAGAGAGGGCAAAGAGAAATGACTCAATCAATTAACCAGATTAAAACTGTGACTTCACCTCCCAAAAATAGCATTTCACCAATATTTTAATGTGCTTATTAATAATCTGCTCGCGCTCTGATTAGCAGCAAGGTAATAAGGGATCAGCTTTAACCTAAATTTAACTCTCCCTAATGGATGATGGCCCCGAGAACCAAAAAAAAAGGAGAAATTCCTATCCATCAGGCTGGCCCCCTGGCAGGTCAGGAGCACCCAAGGGAGCTGGGCAGCAGCTGTCCAGCTGTGCCCTGGGACCATCACCTCATTGTGGCCCAGCAGGTCTTGTGGCATGTTTTGTGGAAGTAATGTCCTAAACATCCTGCTGCACTGAGTGAAGAACACTTTAGGGGTAGCCACAGGGGTGGCTCTCAAAGAGGGCAGATCCTGGCCACAGTCAAGGTGCAAGGTCCCCTCCTGAAGAGACAGGTCCCTTGACAATGGATGATTGCCCTGCTCCATCCCCATCTGCTCCATCCCACAGTGGGGGATAGTTCCTCAGCCCAGCTGCTGGTAGTGCTGGGAGGATGGAGACAGGGCCCAGCCACCTGGCTACCTGATGGCTCCGGGTGTGCTTGTGGCATGCTGTGTGCATGGTGCTGCTTTTTGGGCAAGAAACCCCACTCCAGGGGTTATTTATACACCACCCAGCAGGTGGCTGGTGGGGTGTTTAAATTTATCAGTGTGGCAGGGCTGTGCTGCTGGCAACACTGGAGAGGCAGGGCAGGCGTGGCTGGGTGGGGGATGCTTTATGGCTGCCAATGTCACAGCCCAAAGTGGGACAAGCGGCGTGGACTTAGTGCCAGCCTGGGCTGCCTGGTCCTGGGGCAGTGTTACAGGCTCTGCTGCTCTCCCTAGTGCTGAGCCATGGGCATGTGCCAGGGCCACTTTGCCATCCTGTCCTGTGTCACCTGTGGATCCTCAGAGCCGTTGACCTCGGGGGAGAGAGAAGGGAGGGAGGGAGGGAGGGAGGGATGGATCTGCATGCTTAGATTCTGCTCCCTGAAAGGGGCACAGCTGGGACAGTGTTATACTCCTCACACACTTGGGTGGCCACAACCCCTGGCTGTGGGGGTGGAACATCTTGTATGCAAAGAGGGTTTGGGATGAAACATTTGGGTTCGGTGTCTTCCTCAGCCATATGCCCCATGGGACAGCAGATGGGGCCAAGCGCTGTGCAGGGGCCAGAAGTGTCTCAGGCATGGGTGCAGCTAATCCAGCATGGTTTGGGATTTGTGAGTGTGTGTGCCCAAACCCACAGTGGCACTAAATGTACCTGGCATCACAGAGCAGGAACCAGGCTGGTTGGCTGACTCCAGGCTGAGAGAAACAGATGCTGGTCGCAGACATCCCTGGGGAGGTGCTGTTGTGGGACACAGGGAACAAGATGCCAGACCCAGCTCTTCAGCTTGATAGAACTGCAGAGACACCTTCCTTCAAGCCCTCATGTCTGGAGCAAGGACGGACACAGGCATCAGCAGAGATCCTGGCAGCATTATTCCCTAGGTAGCCCCTTTTCCAGGACTCCCACCTTCACCTGTGGTGTGGCAAGCAAGGAGCTGAGCCCTGAGGATCCCAAGATCATCAGGGAACTCAGAGCAGCTCTTGGGCTGTGGTGACACCTTGCTGGCCCCATGGCACTGAGACACAGCCACATGTGTAATGAGCCCTGTCTGTTCTCTGCCCCCTGCCTCCTTCTGGCTGATGGTGCCACTCTCCCCCCGGGCCAGGAGGGTTATTTTTAACTGTTTGCCATGTGCTTTCTGAGCACAATTAAGGTAATTGGTTTGGGAGCCTGGCTCTCACACAACGCTCCCAATTACCTGCCTGCCTGCCCGTGCGGCCCCCCGCCTCCCTGCCCGCGGTGGCCGGCTCCTCTGGCAGGGGGACTGCCGGGACAGGGCTGCCCCAGATCGCACGGCGGGGCTGGCTGGGGGCGCGAGCGGCCACGGGGGATGGAGCCATGGAGAGGACATCCCTGCACAACGACAGCCTGCTCTATGCCTCCCTGATTGCCATCCTCCTCCTCATCTCCTATTGGTTCACCACCCGCTGCTTCAAAATCATCAGCGGCATTGAAGGTACGGGGCTGGGGACATGGGGGACAGGGTGGCACGGCCCGGCCGCTTCCACCAACCAAGCGGTGAGGCGAGCCAGATGCTTGGTGTGGGAGAGGTGGATTGGGGACTCCCTCTCTGCCTCCTCAGGCACTTCATCAGTTCCTCTGGCTGTGGTCCTGCTCCACTGTATGTGAGAGCAGCCGGTGGCAGCCCCAGAGCTGAGCACTGTTCTGGGGTCCACCATCCTGCCCGTGTCTAGGTACTGCTGCCCCTCGCTGTGAGACAGGGATGCAGATGGGCTCTCTGCAGCCTCCCACTCTTGTAGGGTGCCCAGAGCTCATGCTTGGGCCTCAATCTGTGCTTTGGGGCTCTGGGTCCCTTTGGGCGTGACCCACATCTGGTGTGTTCCAGAGCTCTGGGATGTGATGGGAGTCCCAGTTTCCCCAGTGAAGGTTTCTCCAAGCCCCCTTGCAGTGGGATATGAGTGCCAGGGGTTTGCAGGGTGAGACCTCAAGGCAAGGAGCAGGGCAGGAGGGGTGAAACTGGCATCATGTGTCTGGGGACGTGCAGAGCCTCTCCTGCCCGGGGCGTGAATCGCTCCATCCATCTGTGAGACTTCTCTCTGCACAGTTCAGCCAGAGCCTTAAGGCACTTCCAACAGCATGGCCAAATGCTGGCTGGGGGCAAGGAGAACCCCTGGGAGTGATGCCCCTCAGTGGGATGGGCTACAAAGCCCTGTCCCACACTTCTGGTGGGGTACGCATGCTCTCGAGCAATCCTTGCAGGCAGCTGTGGGTCTGGCTCCATTGGTGACATCCCACATGTGGTCCCACGTGTCTCCTCCATCCTGGGGGCAGCTCCAGATGGGGTAACATCCATGGGGACCTTGGTGAGGTGAAGGGGTGGTCCTTTGTCCCACCTAGCCCATCTGGAGCTGCCCTTGGTCGAAAGGAATATGCTCTGGGCAAGAAAACCTGGGGAATCTGGGGGTGCTGGGAGCTGGGCACAGTGTGTGGCACTGGGACATGGCACCAGTGCTGGGTGCCTGTGCTGGTCCTGATGGGATTCTGTGTCATGCTGGTAGCAAACAGTGGAGTGTTTTTTTAATGGCTCCAGCAGGGAAATATTTAATTCTGACATGGCAGGCAGTGGGAGAATTATCACTGCTCCACTTGGGAGGATGGCTGGCACGGGGGAGGCACAAGGGCAGGTGGGGAAGCTGTCACTCAGGGACTGACCTACCACTGCTTCAGCCCCAACATCCCACAATGCTGCCAGAGACATATGAAGGGCCGATGACAGTCTGTTCATATGGGTTCAGCAGGTTCCCTTTGCAGAGAAGCTGCCTTACACCCTCTGGATCAGTCTGGAAGGACTCCTCTCCCTCTACATCTGGCCAAAATTAGATTGCAGAAATAGACTCATGGCCTACAGGATAGGCATCTGTGCTGGAAGCAGCTGGAGGCTTGAGGAGAGGATGGGTTGTAACTGGGGCTCAGCAAGAAAAGTGGCTTTAAAAACACAGTTGACATCAGTGGGAAACCCCCTGCAAGAGTGCAACAGGTCTGTGCCACCCCAGCCCAGAGGGATTGACTCACAGGCAAAACTGGGAGGCAGACGCATGAAATCCAGGCTCAGTGCCTGGAAACTCAGCTCTTTCCAAGAAAAGGAAATGCGAGGTCTGAAAACTTCCAGCCTGGGGAATGTTTCCCCAGGGAAAGCTTTCAGCTCTTTCCTCAAGATGCCTCTGATGCATCTCTGGCATCTTCTGCTGGTGTTAGAACAACCTTGGGAGCGTGCCCCAGGTGGGCAGGAGATGCCAAGCCCAGTGGCATGGAGCCACTAGACAGCCAGGCTATGCCATGACCTGGGACTGAGACACCAGCCTTCCCCATCCCCTGCCAGGGGACAAACCTGCAGCCTGCTGGACTGGAGATGGGGGTTCCTGGGAGACTGGTGTGAGGCAGCTCAGCTGGGGGCTCTTGCTGGGGTCTGCTCCACAGCCTGGATATGGCAACCCCAGCTGTAGCTGTGGCAGGTGGCCTTGCTCCTGGGATGAACTGGGGGGGCTGGGAGGTGGTAGTGGCATGGGGGCAGCCCTTACTCCCTGCTTACCACACTAGTGCTGGAGTTAGTTCTGGTCTTGCATCATACACCATATGGGAATTGTCTGCCTGGAGATGGGCAGTGCTGGTGGCATCCCTGGGGGAAGACCCCAAGGGGTGCTGAGCCTTGGTGATAGGCAGTGACCACAGGTACCTGGATCCCCAGTGATCTCTGTGACTCCTGATCAAACAGCCAGGCAGAGGCTGGAATGCTGTTAGAAAAGAGCAGGGGAGCTAAATCTAGCCCTGCTGGCTGTGTGTGGATGTGTGCTCGAGACACACAGATGCACGAGTTCATCCTCTGTTTCCAGCTTCTCTGTGACCTTGGCTGGGTCCCTAGCCCCTGCTTCTCCTTCTCTCCTGCTATTGCTGCAAAATTTGGGGGTCTGGCAATGTCTTGGGAATCCTGCATCATGGCCTCTGCTCCCAGCCTGTTCTCACAAACCTGCTTCCTATCTTCCCTTGGTGTTCCCAGCAAAAATGGTGGACCCATCTGCCTGCTCAGAAATGAGGCAGATGGAATTATTGCCCCAGACACTCCTCAGGAGGGAGACGTTGAGGTGTTTAGCCAAGCTGGTCCCCATGGGGCAGACACATGTCTGGGGCACAGAGGACAAATCTGAGTCATCCCCATCCTGGATGTTTTGCCAGTGCCCAGCGTCCTGCCCCTCCCCGTGTCCCCCCCCCGGGAACTGAGTGCCTTTTAATATCTGTGGCCCGTTTCCTTAGCAACTGCATTAAGCAAATCGATGGAGGTGGTGTCATTGGAATGGGAGGGCATGCCTTCTTTCCCCCTCAGACCCCCCCATCCTGCCACCCCCCACGCCTCCCTCCACTTGGCCTCTCTCCACTCTTACTCACAGGCACGGCCCTGCTCTGCCTGGGCTCTCAGCTGTGGCTCGCTGAGCCTCCCACCACAGCCCTGCGCTGACCCCTCGCTCGCCCATGGCTGATGGCAGGTGCCCCTGAGTAGGGGGTGACAGCTGAACCCCCAGGAGGGACACAGGCGGGTGTCACTGGGGATGAGCGGTCTGGCGGCTGAGGTGCTGGGGTGAGGGGGCTCGAGGACTGTGACAGGGAGGGGTGGAGGGGTGAGGGGCCATGAGACACTATCACCATGAACCTGGAAGGCCTTGAGATGATTGCAGTGCTGGTGGTCTTGGTCCTCTTCGTCAAGGTGCTGGAGCAATTTGGCCTCTTCGAGCCTGTGTCCTTGGAAGGTAACGGGTGTGGGTGGTGCTGTCACCTCCGGGACGTGAGGGGCAGGTGGTGGGTGTCCAGAGCTGTTCCCAAGGATGCTCCAAGGCTGCTGCATCCATGAGAGAGTCCTGGTGTCCGTTGGCTGCTTGTAGGGGTGTAGGATGAAAGGAGCAGAGTATCCTGCCTGTCCCAGTGGCTGGGGATGCAGGGAGGGGTCTGGGCTGGCAAGGTGTCTGCTGTACGGTGGTGACTTTGATGTGTGCTGGGATGCTGGGGGCTGGGACTCTGTGTGACCATATATGTGGACACCAGGGTGTTTTCCAGCACCTCCATAGGAGCAAGGTGTTACCAGAGTCCATGGTCACCTCGCCCTGCACGTGAGGTGTTGGACTCAGCACAGGTCTGCACAGCAGCCAGGCTCAGGCAGGAGGGTGCACGCTGGGCCCCCTGCTTCTGGCTCTCCCCAAGGCTCCCTGTGGCCCTTGGGCAGGGTGGGGGACACAGAGGGAACTGTCCAGCTATGGATGGGCTGTGCGAGGTGCTGAGTAGTGTGCACAGGGCACACTTGGCAGAGTCTGGATCTGCTCGGGGGATTCTGCTTTGTTCATGGTGGGAGCGAGGTCAGGACTGCTTGGCTGGGTGCTCCCTGGACTCCCGGGGTGATGGTTTTGTGAAGGGTCCCCCCAGCCCTGCCCAGCCCCTGCCCCTGTCTGCACACACCTCTCTGAAGGATGTTGCAGCCTGCCTGGCCCCTGGCACTGGGGCATGCACAGGGTGAGGAGACAGACAGTTTCCCTGGTGCCCTGAGACACTGCTGTGCTTCTCCAGCACTGGCTCCCACACGGGCTGGGCGTGGTGGTGAATGCTCACCTCTACAAGCAGTGAAGCAGGCAGCACCCGAGCCTGCACCTACAGTCTGGCTGTGCCTGGAGATAGAGAGGGGACAGATTGAGGGGATCTCTCCCTCTAATCCTGTGAACCTGATCACAGGACATGAAAGATGGGTGGAAGTTTTCATTACTGTTTAACTGCTTGCTAAGTCCCTGTGTGCCAGCAGCAGTACTCCTAGGTGGATTGCACCAGGAGGGAAACTGAGGCAGGAGCTGACCTGTCAGACATCCTGCCTTGTGAGTGCTGGGGCAGGGCATGCTGACTGTGCCCAGGGTGGATTCTCCCTCCCCAGTTCTGCTGGTGATTTGGGGGTGCCTCCATCAGACTCTTCTTTCCTACTTCCCAGTGATTTTGCTTTCCTGTGTAGCTGCTTGAAGCTTTGGACCAACATCAGTGGCATTGATTGCAGCTGTTCTGCAGCTCCTAGATGCAGTGGAAGAAGAGACTACAGAGAGCCCCCAGCCCTGCAGCAACACTGCAGAGGGGCTCAGGACAAGGCAGGGGCCACTCCTTGCCTTGTGTGTCTCCTCTGTTTCCTGGGGCACATTCCTCATCCATCTGCAACAGATTTTTCCCTAGCATGGGCCAGAGCAGAATGCTGGAGATGGGGTGTCCTGTGTCCAGCCTTGTCCTGGTCATCTGTCACCCCTCCAGAAGGAACAGGGGCATGCCTGTCTCACTCCACCCACCCTCGCATGCTGAGAAGCTGCAGTTCCCTCTGGCTCGACTGGAGATGCGCCCCAGCTGTGAGGGTGGGAATGGGATCCAGGTGCCCTGGATTGCCAGCAATTGCTCCCATTGCCTGAAGGTACCCAGAAGAGAAGG